TGCTAGTAATTTAGCCTTAGTTATTAACGTTATTATAGTCTATTACTTATTTACTCTCTATCTAATAAGGCTACTAAATATCTTAATTATATACGCCTATAAGCTCTTATAGTTAATTAAATTATTAGTAAAGCTTATATTAGAGGTAACTATTATCCCTTTATTAGATCTAAATTTAAGGTAAAGTCCCTTTGTTTAGTAAAGGTATTATAGTGTATAATTTACTGCCCTCTAATATATAACTAACAGGTTCTAATTAAATTACGCTAGCTAGCTAGCAGTAAATATAACGTCTAGCCTTATTATTACTACTATATATAAGATTAAACTAACTTTATATTAGTAATTAGTAATCTTAAAGGTTATAGTAATCTGCTTTAATAGTAGTAGCTCTTTATTACCTATTAGTGTATAGTTAAGTAGTAGCTAGACTTTATTATTAATTAAATTTAAGATCTTATTAATATATATTACCTATAAAAGCTATATCTTATACTACTTATAGTTATAAATAACCTCTATACTAAGAAACTATTATATCTTATTACTGCCCTCTAAGTAGTACCTTTCTTTTATTCCCTTTATTAATTTATTAGCCTTACTTTAGGCAGACTTTAGGAACATAAAGACATAATTATTAACATAAAAGAAGAAGGTAATAGCGCCCTTTTACTAATAGTATAGCTTACTAGTAACTAGTATAAATCTAAGATTATAGAGTCCCTTTTTAAGGTGCCTTTACTATAGTAGTAGTAATCTTTATAGACTATATAAGGCTTTTAATAGCTTAGTAATTCTTATACTACTATAATTTAAATACCCTAGGGGTAATTATATAAACACTATTTTATTTATATTAGTATATATAAATATATTTACTATATTAAATTAGATTAGCTTTAGATTAAACTTAGCTAATATTATAATAAGCGCTCTAAATAATAATCTAGCTAACGTTACTATATAGGTATCTTAGATTACGTCTTTTACTTACTAGTCTCTTTATATAATAAGTCTTACTTTATGCTTAATAAGGTATCTATACTTATTTAACTTATAGGTATATACCTATTTAGTAATTAAGTATCTAGTTGTACTAGCCTTATTAATACTAACTTTACTACTTATTACTTTATAACTTTATAAGTAATCTCTTTTAGCCTAGTAAAACCTATCTATAAATAGGTAATATTATAAATTAGTATATATATTAGGCAGACTAAGTAGATCCCTTATATAGATCTTACGCTTTACTAAATTAGTCTTATAAGGGCTTCCCTTCTGTATTATCTCTACCTTATCTTTAGAGCCTTTAGAGGTTACCTCTTCTACTAATTAACCCTTTTGCCTAACGTCTTAAGGGGGCTAGCCTATAAGCCTATTAGGTAAGTTAATCTGTCTTAAGGATATCTTTACGTTATTTTAACGTTAAAAAGTACTAGCTATAAAGGCAGCTTACTACACTTCTTATAGGTATATCCTTCTTTAGATAATATAGTTAGCGTAGTAAATCTTATTACTTTTACTATTATTTTCCTACCCTCTTACGTTAAGAGTATTATTTAATTATATAAAGAAGGCTAATTATAGTAAATCTAGTAAAGTAATTAATATAAAGTGTAACTTTATATATTTATAAGTATTTATATCTTTAGTTATAAGGAAATTTACTAGCTAGCTTTTAGCCTTATTAATAGTAATATCTATAGCTTCTTTACTATTAGTAATATCTATAGAACTTTACTATATTACCTTTATAATCTATTTATTAATAGTAGCCTTATTAGTATTACCTAGCTTATTAACCTATTTATCTTCTTTACTTAAAAAATAACTATCTTTATTAAAGATTATATTACGTGTTATAACTACTTAATTCTTTACTAGTATATATATATAATATTAGTTAGTTAATATATATCTAATAAGGTAACTAATATATACTTTTACCTTAAATTATAGTAATTAGTTATAGTTAAGTTATATATCTATAGTTATTACATATACCTAGTATCTAAATACTTACAGATAGCTAATATATAGTAGTAATAAATACCCTCTTATAGTATATTATATTTTATATAGTAATTACTATCTATACGCCTCTAAAGGCGTATAGTTATATAGGTACACTACAGCCTTAAGGATCTCTAGCTATAAGTAGTGTAGTAGCTTAGATTAAAGCCTTATTACTATTACTTTCTCCTTAATTACTATAGCAATCCTCTTAGCACCGCCGTTCTACGCCTACGTGTTAGGCGCTAATAATTTAAATAGGATTCCTAGACTTTCTATAGCTTCTTTTACTTATAAATAAGACGTAGTAATCTTATTATTACACTTAATTATTCTAACCTCTATAGCCTTATACACTTTAATTATTTTTATAAAGTTAAGAAGCGTGTGCTTAATATTATTAAAGCTATATTATTAGAGGTAATAGTCCTATATAAATCCTAACTTATAGTTACTAAGTAGTAAGGCTAACTTAAATTTACTATAGCCTTACTTAAATAAGTAAAAATCTAATATAATCCTATTACCTATTACTATATATTTAATTAACTCTTATAGCTAGTAAGATATTTACTAATTAATCTTACTTATTATATATACTTTATATTAGTAAGTAAAGATCTCTAGTATATTACCTTTAATCCTTACTCCTCTAGCCTTACTAGTAATATAGTAAAGTACGCGTAATCTAGGGTAGCTAAGTTAGTTATACTAGCGTATAGCCTTTACTAGCTAGGATTACTAGTAGTAATCTAGCTTATCTACTTTATTAATTACTATTATTATAAAGTAAGCTGTATATATAGCCTTTAATTTCTTACTAGCCTTAATAACTTATTAGCTTATAAATTTATCTATATTAAATACTATAAAGTAATTATTAGCTTTTTATATATAATTATTAGATAGGCTATTATCTTACTACTACTTATTTTATAGCTTAAGTACTATATATAACATAAGGTTATAAGATAGTAATAGGTAATACGCTACGTTATATAAGGTAATCTTAACGTTATAGCTATTTACCTTTACCTTAATAACTATATTACCTTAACCTTTAATTAGGATTATTACTTTACCTATATAGATAAAGTTATCTAGGCTTACTAGTAATATACTAGTAAAATAATAATATAAATAGAAAACATAAAGGGTTACCTCTAAATTAAGGATAATATAGTCTTTAAGTAGATATCTAGCTGCTATAAATACTACTAACTACTATAATAGTGCCCCTTTTCCTTACGCTTTTCTACCTATTAGTTATTAATTAGTTACTTTATTACCTAATTACTTTGTCTTTAGCGCGCTAAGATTATTTATCCTCTTTAATATACTAGTAATAAGTATATTTACCTTCTTTAATTAATCTCTTATATGTTAATCTATAAGTGCCTTTTATACTTACTTAATTATATACTTATGTAGCTTCTAATTACCTTTTAGCTATACTTTACTAGTATAGTAGTAATCTAGAATCTTATAGCCTATTAAGCTATATAAGTTATATTTACTATTATATTAAATTTAGGCTATAGGCTTTTTTCTTACCTAATCTTTATTATTATTATTAGGCGCTATAGTTACTATAGTAACTAGGCTAAATACTCTATATAAGGCTTTTACCTAAGGCTACTCTAGCTTTACTATAATCCTTACTTATATAGTAAAGATTACGTTATATTAAAGTAACTTTCTTTTCTCTACCTATATTTAAAAAGGGCGTTTATTTAATTTAACTTATATTAATAATAAGGTATATCTTAGCGCCTTTATTAATAGTAAGATCTATTTACTAAGTAAATCTACTAAATACTACTAGACTTAAATACCTTTAGAGATAGCCTCTTCCTATTTAGTTATCTACTTCTCTAACTCCTTTATATCTAGAACCTTATAGTCTATTACTCTCTTTATAACTTTATTATACTTAGTAATAGTAATATCCTTTACTTTATAAAGTAGTATACTTACTTTAGCCTTAAGATTCTTTACTTACTTATATAGTAGCTTATTACTACTATAGCACTTTACTTTAAGCTTTAGATTAATAGTTAAATATATATAGTTAATAAGGTTATTAACATTCTTTTTAGCCTTTTCCTACTTATATAGGCAGCAGACATAAATCTTCTTATTATATTTAAGTTACTTAATACCTACGTTAGTAAGATAGGCTAGCTTAGTTACCTAGGCGGCAGAGGCTACTTATAGAGTCTAAGACTAGGTCTAGGCCGCTAAGTTACTTTAGGCCTATTAGTTAATTACCTCTTAAGTTATTAGATAGTTAGTAATATTTAGCTCCTCTAGCCTCCTGTTAATAATATCCTCTGTAGTTTTATAGTCTTTATTATTAGCGTTAGGGTTAATTACAGCCTATAGCTTATATCTATAGGCCTTTTACTTAAGCTCTGTAATCTATAGGCGCTAATTAGCTAGGCTGTTAAGGACGACATACTAGGTAGTTAATTTATTAGTTATTATAAATAATAAGGTATATATTATATATATACTATATAACGCTTTAAATAATATTAATTAGTAACCTATAGATTAGACTATTAATTAACAAAGCGCGTAATTAGTAGTAATACCCTATATTAATTAATTACTTTATTATATATGTCTACTACTATGTTATATGGCTATTACTAATTAGCCCTTTAGTAAGGGGTAAATGCCTAGATTATTATTTTCCCTTAATTTAAGTGGAGAAATCCATCCGGGAAATAACTAGTGCATTTGCGGCCAATTGCCCCACAAGCGACCGTGCATTTCTGGCCAATTGGCCCACTTTGACAATTGTCACCTTAAGCCTGCACAGGCCAGCGTGCACAGTACTCTCGGGTTGTCAAGGGGGGGGCATTATCAGCTTGTCTGTAGACTTGATAAATTCCGCCTCTTGTCGTTTCATCTAGTGCCATGGAACCGATCATGTCCCTAGCAAGTAGACAGGCCCAACACCAACTACGGACCCCAAAATGTGGCTCAATGGTCAATTTGCAGTCCTTGTTTTGCTGCAATCGGCGATCATGACCACCTTCGTTGCTGCAATCCTGCTCACAACACGCGGACAGACAACCGCTCGAGTAATCGGCGTCACAGTATTGGTCGCACTATCTCTCAGACTCTATTTCTCATGGCTGCAACTTCTCACGAACCCCCACTGGCGGGCAATCGTTGCGCCGCTTATTTGGATTCAGTTCCTCAGCGCGTCGGAATTGATCCTGGGTGCACGCGCGTCTGAACCGGACTTTCGGGCAACACACGCAGACCAATTACGCCTTGTGCCTCCGATGCTATGGAACTTACGGAGAGTAGGCACGAGGTGGGCCGTCAAGAACACACCCGCCAGCCCGAATCAGAGTCGAGCTCGGTTCATATGGCGTCGAGCGACGGCCACGGTCTTGGCATATCTGGTTCTTGATGCAATGCTATTAGCCCCGGCGCCTGATGCCGCGCTGGTCAGCATCCAGAACCAAACCTTGTGGGACCTGCGAGCCTTGACTCCTGAAGGCTGCGTGTTCCGGATGATTGCCACAGCATCGTTCTGGGTCAGTGTTGCGCTGCTTCTCTTCATCATCAACAACTGCGGAGCCCTCTTGAGCGTCATCTGCGAGCGTTGCTCTGCAAGTGATTGCCCACCATTGTTTGGTTCGTTTGCCAATGTAACAAGCATTCGTCAGTTCTGGGGGTATGTATTCGGAGGGCGCAAAAAAAAATCAAGATGTGGATTACTAATGTTACACATCATAGCGCAGCATGGCATCAATGCCTTCGGGCAGTTCTTACTTGGCATGCAGATCTGCTTGCCGACTCAGTGTTTCGAATTCCACGAGGAACCGTGTTGTCAAAGTACACTCGTCTGTGGTTGGCGTTCATGATATCAGGTTTGATCCATTACATCTCTGATGTTGCCATGGGCGTCGAACCGTCTCAGTCGGGCAGTCCGTTGTTTTTCATATTACAGGCATTCGGCATCACACTGGAAGATGGTTTTCAATCCCTGGTCAGCCGGTATCATTGGAACGGAAGAGAAGGAACCTGGAAGAGTGGAAGAATTCTTATTCGCCTCTGGCTGATTGGCTTTCTCGTCTGGTCAACGCCTACCTGGTTCTACCCACAGCAGCGGCTTGGGGTAGATGCAACAAGCCTGCTTCCTCTGCGGATCATACCTACCATTATCCAAGCTTTGGCCCGCTGACTTTGGCTTTCTTCAGAGTAGACGTTCTGTTACTGTTTTGCGCCTTAGTAGCAAGCCAATTCTAGTACAGGTAAGGCTTATCCATATATAGGATAGGGCCCGCTCTCATACAGCAGGCCGCAATCTAGAGGAGCTAGTCAAGAGAGGCATAGAAGTCATAGAATTTCCTCTGTATTTACCAGATCTAAATCCTATAGAGTCTCCTGCTAGGGTTAGAGGAAGGAGTGTATCTAGGTTAAATATAGTCGTATTTCGCTACTAGTTCGCCAGAACGTTAATAACTAAGGTTAACAGGTAAAGGATATACTTCTAGAGGAGCATTATAGGTAACTTCTATAGCATATAGGTCGTTAATACTAGGCAGTAATTTATATAAATAATAGACATACTTAGTTCTAACGTTTAGCTAACTAGGCATTATAAGAGTAGGACAGGAATTATATTCTAAGTCTATATATAATTAATATATATTAGTATTATATATAGTATTTAGTATAATACTAATACTAATACTATACTTTTCTAACTATATTAATATTTTATTATATACCTATATAACCTTAAGGACTAATTATCTTAAAGCCTATTTATTAAAAGTAAAGATAGTATTAAGTAAAGGAGTTAGTAATAAGTGTAGTTAGGGTGTAATTATAATAATTATTCTAATATACCTCCTCTAACCCCTATATTCTATAGAGTTTTCCCTTTTTATTATTCCTTTAGTAACTAGTTTATCTAGTCCTAGTCCTACTTTAGTACCCCCCTAGGGCCCTACTTTAGGCACCTAATATAATCCCCTCCCTCTAAGGTCCTGCCCTTAGGACCCTAAGCAGGCTATTTACTAGTAGCCCCCCTATTAGCTACTTAGACTATTTAATAGCTAAGCCTTATACTTAACTCTTAATCTCTTAGGACCCTAAGTAGGCTACTTACTAGTAGTCCCTTTATTAGCTACTTAGACTATTTAATAGCTAAGCTTTATACCTTATACTTATTCTTTAGTATCTTAAAAGATATTTAAAAATATTTACTAGGCCTAGTAAGCTATTAAATAAGTAGTTATCTCTCTAGCTAACTATTTACTTTTAGCCTTACTTTTATACTATTATATTTTAGCTAGGCCTTAACTACTACCCCCTTAAGGTAGTTTAGTCTTTTAGCTTAAAGTATAAGTCTTATATTACCTTACTTAGTAAAAGACTACTTACTTTATAATAAAAATACTTTATTTACTTATAATACTTTTTAATACTTTTTATTAACTAGGCCTTATAGTACTTTTTTAAGTACTATATACTTTTTATTATTCTTATTATTATAATATCTAGCTTTTTTATTAACTATTTATTAAGCCTTAAGTTATATTACTTTTATAATAAAAAAAATCTTTATTTTACTTTTTATAATTAGTACTAGTAACCTTTTAGTCTTAGCTAGCTTTTTTTACTAAGGCTTATTTAGTTTTAACTTTATAAGCTTAAGTTATTATTATAACTAGCTTTTTTTAATACTTACTTAAATAAGTAATTTAAATTAACTTAGGTTTTTATTAATTTCTTTAGTAATTATTTTTTTTATAATACTTTTATATTATTATTAAATCTTTTTTTTTACTATTACTATTATTACTACTACTACTTAGTAGTAATAGTAATAGTAATAGTAATAGTAATAGTACTAGTAATAGTACTAGTACTACTAGCTTTTTTATTATTACTATTATATTTACTACTATACTTACTAATACTACTAATACTACTAACACTACTACTTTTACTACCCTTAAGGGCACTAAGGGCCTTACTACTACCTCCTTACTACCCCTTTAGTCTATTACCTCTTTAAATAAAAAAAATAAGAATAACTATACTATAGTTTATTTTATTTTATATTACTACTACTTTTAGGCTATATCTATTTAGTATATAGATATAGCTAATACTAAAGCTAAGTTTCTTTATTACCTTAAGACTACTAGTAAGTACTTAACACCTTAGTGCCTCTTAAAGGCCCTTTTTTACTTATATTCTAGTCTTAATTATACTATTAGCTACTAGTAATAAGTACTTTTAGTATACTAAGATATATAGTAAGAAGTATATTTATATAAGTGTTTTTATATTATTATTCTCTTATTATTAGTAAGAGGTACTTTAGTAACCTTTTACTAACCCCTTATAAGCTACTTATACTATAACCTCTACTACTTTTACTTTTAAGAATATCTTTAAGGCCTTTTATTATAATAATACTATATTATTATAGCTAGTTCTTAAATAGTAAGGTTTAGGGTTATATTACTTACTATTTATTTATTAAGTAAAGTAATATAGCCTATAACTTATTAAGTTATAATATATATATACTAACTACTATTACTATAAGGTATATCTTTTTTACTACTTTATAACTACTTCCTAACTAACCTTTTATATAAAAAAAAGTTACTACTACTTAGACTATAGTTAAAAAAGCCTTTTAAAAAAAAGTAAATACTACTAAGGCCCCTAATACTAAGTATAAAGCTAAGGCTAAAAAGAAAAAGTAGCTTCTTTATAGCTATAAGGTTATAGCCCTTAAGGCTTTTACTACTACTACTTTCTTCTTAGCTAAGTTAGCTAAAGTAGCTACTATAGTACTTTAGTACTAAAATATACTCCTTAAGAAGTAAACTAAGGCTATTAAGGCCTAAGGTGCCTTTTCTTCTAAAGAGGCTACTACTTACTTTTAGGTTATATATTATTTTTCTTTTAGTAACCTCTTACTACTTCTTAGTTACTAACTCTTATTTTAGTATACTACTAACCTTAACTTTTAGTCTAGAGGTAATATAGCCTCTAGTGTACTTAGTAAAAGTAAGGATAAAGAGGAGGAGTAAGTGTTACTACCTCTTTAGTGCCCCCCCCCCCCCCCCCTAGGCCCTCTCCTAGTTTTATTTTCTTTCTCTTAGCTACTATAGGCTTTAAATACTTAGTCCTTAGGCTATATACTTTTTAGCCTTAGTACTAAAGAATAATTAAAAAATCTAGTCTTTTAAGCTAAGTACTTACTTTTACTTAGTGTTTTTTTATACCCTCTTAGTAACTTTTTACTTATAGTCTTATTATAAATTCTTAAATATATTTCTTTATAGCTTTTATAAATTTTCTTTTTTACTATACTTTTTTTATTTAATAAGGTACTACTTATTTTAATATAGTCCTTTATATACTACTATTTATTTTACTTTATATATATTTTTCTTTTCTTAATCTAAATAAGCTAAGGCTTTACTAATACTTTACTAAACTTTTTTAGCTAGAATAATAAAAATATATTATAAATATAGTACTTTATTTTTATATCTAGCTTATAGGCTTTCTTATTAGTAACTACTTATATTACTATAAAAGGTCTAAAATACTTATTTACTAGCTTTTTTAATAGTTACTTTTACTTAATAAATTTAGCTAATAATAAGACCTTTTTTCTTACTTTAAACTTAATATTTATCTTTTTTTAGTTATACTACTTCTTATAAGTCTAGCTTATAGACTTTAGTATACTAATAATAGTAGCCCTCTAGCTTTTTAGCTCCTTAACCTTTTTATAGGCTATAAAGACTTTTACTAGTTTCTATCTTATTAGTCTTATATTATAAGGGTTTTATAAGGCGTAACTTATAAAGGCCTCTACTAGTAATACCTTAGTTACTTTATATTATACTTTATTATAAATAAATTCTACTATTAGAAGCTATTTAACTTAATTATTTTACTTTATATTATAAAAGGCTTATAAAAAGTGTTTTATATTCTAATTTTACTACTTTATCTATTTATTTATTTAGGGGTAATAAGTAGTACTAAGTTTTTACTTAATAGCTAGCTAGTAGTATACTACTACCTAAAAATAGCTAGTAAATAAGGATTCTCTATTTAATATTATTATTATAAAGATACTAAATCTTAAGAACACTTTATTTACTAAAAAGAGAACTAGCTAGTTTACTATAATAGTCTCTTAAGTAAGTAAGTAAATAGTATACTTTATAAGCTTATTTATTACTACTAAAATACTATTATATACCTTACTATTAAAGCCTTTTAACTTTAGTAGCTTTATAATAAAGTCTATAGTTATATATTCTTATAGCTAGCTAGGCACTAGTAAGGGCACTAGCTTCTTATAAGTTAAGTAGTACCTTAGTTTAGTTTACTAGTATATTATATAAGTCTTTATATACTTCTTAACGTCCTTTTTTATTAACTTTTAAAAATATATTTATTTAATATATTTAAGTATATAGTTTACTTCTAAGTAACTTCTAGCTAGCTTATTATAAAATACTACTAGTAACTTTATTTTTACTATATACTTATTAAAGATTAATAGTCTTTTATTATACTATAGTACTTTATTTTCTTTTTTTATTTATTAACTACTTAGTTATTACTACTTTTCTAATTAGACCTACTTATTTACTAGTTATACTATAATAATTTTATTTTTTAAGTTAATAGTAAGTTATTTTTAGTTTAGTAGCTTAAGACCTAGTAACTTACTATATCTAAATATTATAACTTATTTTCTAAATCTACTAAAGAAGTCTACTAGAAATATACTATATACTTCCCTCTCTTCCTCCTTAGTAAGCTAGTAGTCTAGCTATTATAAGAGCTTATTTACTATATTATTCTTCTTAGGCTAGTACTTAATCTTAAAGTTAAATAAGAATAAATCTTATAGTACTTAAGCCTAGTAACTATTAAGTTAGGGCTTAGTAGCTAGGTAATAGTACCTTAAATAGTCTATTAGGAACACTATTTAATATTATATATATAGTAAGTAGTGTCTTTAGTAAACTACTACCTTATAGATTATAAGTAGCTTTACTTTTAGTGCCTTATAATAAAGTTCTACTTTTTATAGCTTTTAGAATATAAAGGCTACTAGGTACTATACTCCTTTATAAAGCTAGTATATTACTATACTAATTATAACGTTAAATATATTTATCT